AGTACAAATAGGCAAGAAGAAAGGTGCACCACCAAACAGAACATTATATAACTACAGTAGTCTACACTACAGGCAGTTACAAAAACAATATATAGAAATATATATTATTCTAGACACGCCCCCATAAGTGCCTGTAGGGAAGAATATGCAGTCAACGCCCCCATAATGGGGGACACCAGACAGGCCGCAGCGGAAATCATAGCAACAGGCAAGTGCAGTGGCAACCGGTGCAGTGATGGCAGATCCAGCTGTACCAACCCCTTTACCAAGGTAAAAACAGTAGCAGGTGTTGGGGCGGCAGGTCGCCTGAGGAGCAGGCTCTGTGGCTGCAACATGCAGCAGGACAGCAGCGGCTCGACGGCAGCACCTGCAGGCCCCAGCAGTAGGTAGCAGAAACAAGGACAACAAAAGGTAGGTGGTATCAGGGGCGGCAGCTGGAGGTGCCACGGCAGCAGCGGGCGTCAGCAGCAGATGACCGGCTGACTTCCGTCGCCCCCTCACTCCCCCCCCCACAGCGGCACGTTTGGCAGTGAGAGAGAGAGGAGGGGCAGCAGCTTCTTGCTCACACCCGCCTCCCCAAAACCTCCCCCCCACACTGCTGCACCGTTGCTTGCGTGGCAGCTGCAGTGGTAGCAGCGGTATGTTTGACGGGAGGGCGGGGCAGGGGGCGCGTTCGGCGACGTAAGTAGCTCGGCCGCCACACCCGCCGTCTCCCCCCAAAGCGACCGTCGATGCAGACGCTCGGGGCCGCGACATGGCGTGACGAGGTTGCAGGAGGGCGCGAAGGGGAGGCGACTGGGCCGCCGACTGGGGCCGCGACGAACAGCACTAAGCCCGCCACGCTGGACTTCGTAAGCTTCACGAATAGCGGCCAAACGGGCACTTTTGGGGCCGCGACGAGCGCCATGGCAGGAACGATAAGCGGTGGGCCCATGGGAAAAAAAAATCAGGTCCTAGGATAGGAACCTCACTCTGATATCATGTCGAAAAGGACTAGAGAGCGTTAGGCTTAGGAGCCATAGTAAGTTGGGTAGGAGCGATTGAGCTCGAGTGAGTTTAGGAAAGTCGAGAAGTTTCAACAAAAAGAGGCGTTTCACTATAGAGCGAGGAGTACAAATAGGCAAGAAGAAAGGTGCACCACCTAACAGAACATTATATAACTACAGTAGTCTACACTACAGGCAGTTACAAAAACAATATATAGAAATATATATTATTCTTGACACTTCCCCGAAGGAGCAGACGCAGCGCCGACCGACTCAAAACCAACGAGGTCGGCCGTAGCAGCAGAAGCAACAGAGGGCAAGAGGAGGGAAGGAGAACACCACTCAAAGACAGGGGTGCGGGGGTCACCACGAGAGGCTCCTACAGCGACGATGCTCTTCTCCGCTGCTAGGAGGGCCTTCTCGAGGAGGTCAACGGTGAGCGTGATGGGGCACATTGCTAGGAAGTGGTCCCTCACTACGTGAAGGGAGTCAAGGAGCTGGGTGACTATGTAGTAGAGGGTGATATACATCGGGGGGGGGGGGGGGGGGGGGGGGGTTCTTGGCGCAGAGATCAGCAGGAAGTGCAGCGCGGTAGGGAGTGTCACTAGTGCGGAGGTGCGTGATGAGGTCAGCGACTGTGGGAAAGGCAGCAAGGTCAGGGAAGAGGTACGGTAGCATGAGACGGCTCAGTGCAGCAGTGGCAGGGGAGGAGTAGCGTGCAACTACAGCGTTGTACAAGGTCTGAGCACTCTTGTACTGACTAAAGTGCGCACGCTCAGAGGTAAGGAGGTGGCGACGCACAGCAAGACGTGCAGCAGCATCGCGCGTGGCCCACTGTGAGCGAACAGTGGCGTCAGCATCAGCAGCAGGAGCAGGAGAGGCACCAGAGGTGAGGTCAAAGAGGGAGAGACCGTCTGCCCTATCGCACTGTAGGAAAAGCTGCAGGTCATCTATCCAGACGTCAAAGTTAATGGCACGACCCTCAGCGTCAAAAGCGAGGACACTAGGGGTAGCCATGACAACAGTAGACTAGTAGCACAAACAGTAGGGTAAGCAGTGCAGTGACAGAGGCGCTGTGCTCACCGGACGAGGCTGCTCGGGCGGCTCGGCGGTGCGGGCGGCTCCGCTGTAGGGTGGCTCGGCGGCTCGGCGGCTCGGCTACACGGCGGCTCGGCTGCTGGGCGGCGGGGCGGCTCGGCTGCAGGGCGGCTCGGCTGCTCGGCGGCTCGGCTGCACGGCCGCTTGGCTGGTGGGCGGCTCGGCTGCTCGGCTGCCCGGGCGGCTCGGCGCTGCTGCTGCAGGGCGGCGCGGCGGTCGGCTGCTCGGCTGGGTGAGGCGGCTCGGGCAGCTCGGATGGCGGGCGGCGCTGCAGCAGGCAACGGGGCCGTAGGGACGGGCCGCGGGGCCGCAGTTGAGGGCGACGGGGCCGTAGGTAAGGGCGGCGGGGCCGTAAGTGAGGGCGGTGGGGCCGCAGGTAAAGGGCGGCGGGGCCGCAGGTAAGGGCGACGGGGCCGTAGGGAAGGGCGACGGGGCCGCAGTTGAGGGCGGCGGGGCCGGAGGTAAGGGCGGGGCCGCCAGTAGGTGGCGGGGCCGCAGGCAGGCGACGGGGCCGCAGGTAAGGGCGACTGGGCCGCAGTTGAGGGCGGTGGGGCCGCAAGTAAGGGCGGGGCCGCCGGTAGGTGGCGGGGCCGTAGGTAAGGGCGAGGTCGCAGGCAGTAGGCGGGGCCGCACGTAAGGGCGGCAGGACCGCAGGGTAGGCGCCGAGGCCGCAAGGCGGCGGATCGGGGTAGGGATGGCGGCGCGCGGGCCAGAGTGGGCGGTGCGCGGGCTAGGAAGGGCGGCGCGCGGGCTGGGAAGGTCGGTGCGCGGGCCGTAGGGCGGGCGACGAGGCTGCAAGGCAGCGTGAGGGCCGCGATGAAGGCACCGGGGCCGCTAGGGCGGCTCGACTGGGTGGAGGAAGGGGAGCGCGACTCGGGCCAGGGTTGAGCGCGCTCCGGGTAGGAAAAAAAAAATTTCGACTTGGTGGGCCCTAGGAACAGTTCCCACGAGGGAACCTGCTCGATACCATGAGAAAACTGAAACGAGAATGAATGAACTATGAAAGAGTTGGGTACAAGTACTAACCACAATTGGGTTGTACCCCTTATGGGCTACCCCACTACAGCCTATACAAATGCATAAGCTATAATGTTCTGACAACCCGCGCCTGCAGGCGGCCGACGGATACAGCGGTTCCTTTGCGACGCCACTCGAGGAGCCTCTCGTAGACCTTCAGCTCCATCGACCAGTACCACGACGCTCGTCCTCGACCATGTATGCGCTTACGGGCAGAGTGTACCTCTTTGAGGAAGTCCGCAGAGCGCTTCCAGTTAGAGAGACATTTGCGATGGATGCCGCTCTCGCCAGCCAACGAGCGCACCGAGACTGCAACATCAAGCAGCGCGACCCACTTCAACTTCTCGGCGGCGGTGTAGGCCTGTCGCTTGTGCTCGTTCATCTTGTGCCTGGGAGAGGGGGGGCAGGCATCACGGTTCTGTGAAGCAGGGTGTGGTCGCTTGCGATTAAGCGGAGGAAAAGAGGGTATCGGGAGCTTCTCTGGAAGCCCGTCGCGTGACCAATACTCGACGCCGTCGTCATCGTCGCCGCTCGGAGCACCCTCGGGAAACACATCCTCAGCGGTGCCGGCCTCGGTGCCACCCTCCGTGCCACCCTCGCCGCCGGTGTTGCGCTCAGCGTGCCACTCCTCTTCGGTGTCAGCCACCTCGTCGTCTGCGCCGACAGCAGATTCATCCCAGTTGCAGTCATCGGGCTGTCCCCATCGTGGTGCCGGGGCCGGAGCTGCTACATACTCATCTTGGCGCTTGTCGCAGTCCGGTTTAGAGAGGTACTCATCGAACGCCAAAGGGAGAAGGAGCGTGAGCACGGGCTGATTGCCCGTAAACACAGGATGCACGGGATATGCAGGAGACGGAGGAACGGGAGGAGCAGGAGGAGCAGGAGGCGCAGGAGGAGCAGGCGGCACAGGAGGCGCAGGAGGTTGTGGTGGCTCTGGTGGGATACGGGAATACCACCCGTCAGCGTCAACTCCAAACGCGGGCCTAGCAGAAAGCTTCTTCTTAAACAAGAAATGGGTGCCGGTGAATTCCGCCATGGCTTCCGCAGCCTGGCGGGAAAGAACGAGAAACTGAATGAAAAACTGGATGAAAGATGCAAGAAATGAAAGAATGAAGGGGACCCCTTCGGCATGGCGCCTCGGGGTCCTCGTCAATGAACGAGGGTTGCCCCTCTGCCTGAACCCGCAGAGGAGGGTTCATGGAACCATCCATGCTGCGCTGGCAGGGCATCTTCTACCCCCTTTCTAGAGGGTTCGGTCGAGATGCTCCTGCCTGGCAGCGCATGACGACCTCATTGGGCCGCACGACAGGTTACGCGTCAGCGCTGGCAGGTGCGTTGCTCCTAAATAGGTTTTGTGTGGTGGGAATTCGAATCGCGGCAAGTTTCGTCGTGTTTCCATGCACGATCCCATGCGCACGTCACATCATTGTATTCGCCTTATTGAGAGCTTCAATTTGGTTCATCTGAATTCGAAAATCATTTTTGCCGTTATAAAAGCGCCGGCGCTTATGGCCGTTCCTCAATTACTAGCGCCACCCCTAAAAAAAATGATTTTATTGTAAGCGCATATGCGCTACTATCCAGGGCCATACGGTATTCCGCTGAGTCAAAGGTCGCTGACCTTTGACCTTCCCGTAACCTCCAGCAGTTACTTTCTGTCAACCTCCTCGGTTGACTCGCCTTTGCTTCGTTGAGATTCGACTCGTTTGCAGTCTATTGTTTCGACACGACAGGAGCGTTTAAATTACTTGTTTCCAACACATTTCAATTCACTATACTTTAGTGAATTCATTTCAATTCACTACACAACAAGTCTCGTCCCACCACACCACAGTACATAAATGTCAAAAAAACGAATGATGCCATAGAAGATTAAAAAAAAAAAAAACAATTGGTTCCCTATACAGAGTCCGAGGAATTCGGTGAAGGAAGAGGGGGGGAGTAGAGGGGGCGGGAGGGAGGGAGGAGAGAGAGAGTGTGGAGGGGAGAGGAAGGGGGGCTGGGGGAAGAGGAAGGGGGGAGGTGGGAAGTGGGGGGGGGTTGGTCGGGTGGTGGTGGTGTTCAGTAAAAAGAATTGGTACGCCAACCTACCAGCGCACAGTGTTGCGAATAGCAGGCAGTGCGTACCGTATATGTGATGTGATTGAACAGTGTATCACTACACTAGAGTGCGGCATGGGTCTTGATCCAGGGATGCTCTGACATGGGGGAGCATGGCGCACATGTACAGAGACAAAGAGGGATGCAGGTGTGAATTGGCACGAGGCAGAACATAAACTTGAAATGTGTCTTGTAAATCGAGTGAATAGGAGCGATGAGAGAGAGGCATAATGGGACACATGGGAGGTCGGGACTCATGCAGCAGAGGGAGGACGGGCTGCAGGATACGTGGCAGAGGAGAGTGCACAAAAGAGGAGAGAATGTGAGGAAGATGAGAGTGAGGAAGAGGAGAGTGTGAGGAAGAGGAGAGTGTGAGGAAGAGGAGAGTGCGAGGAAGAGGAGAGTGAGGAATAGGGGAGTGTGAGGAAGAGGAGAGTGCGAGGAAGAGGAGAGTGTGAGGAATAGGGGAGTGTGAGGAAGAGGAGAGTGTGAGGAAGAGGAGAGTGTGCGGAATAGGGGAGTGTGAGGAAGAGGAGAGTGCGAGGAAGAGGAGAGTGCGAGGAATAGGAGAGTGCGAGGAAGAGGAGAGTGAGGAATAGGGGAGTGTGAGGAAGAGAAGAGTGCGAGGAATAGGGGAGTCTGAGGAAGAGGAGAGTGTGAGGAAGAGGAGAGTGCGAGGAAGAGGAGAGTGAGGAATAGGGGAGTGTGAGGAAGAGGAGAGTGCGAGGAATAGGGGAGTCTGAGGAAGAGGAGAGTGTGAGGAAGAGGAGAGTGTGGGGACGAGGAGAATGGGAGGAAGAGGTGAGTGTGAGTAAGAGTTGAGTGTGAGGAAGAGGAGAGTGTGGAGAGTCCAAGCAAGAGGAGAGAGAGGCAAGCAGAGAAGGTGAAGAAGCAGAGAGTGTTAGGAAGAGGAGAGTGAGATGAGGAACAGAGTGTGCGGAAGAGAGTGTGAGGAAAGGAGACTGCGAGAAAGAGGATAACCTCATGAAAGAGGTACTTGAGAAGCAGCAGTGCTCAGAGCAGGGTGAAATAACAGCGCGGGAGAGCATAGGAAAATAATAAACCATGGAAAAGCAATGCTCAGGAAGAAGTACCTAAGAGTTAACAGTGTTTTAGGGGGTGGTTAACTTACAGAGGAAAATTTTGTGCTAAGAGTGGTAAACAACAGAGCAGCGGCAGCACTTAGTGATATTGTAACTTACGGTGCTTGGTGCACTTACCAAGCACTGCATCCAGTGTGATTCGCTCCACTGGGTCTTTCTTAAGCATGTCTTTTATGAGGTCCTTGGCCTCCGTCGATATGGAAGGCCACGGCGGGAAGGAGAAGTTGAGAGGCTTGGATACGATTGCATCCAGCACTCCAGATTCTGTTGATGCCCAGAAGGGCGGCACGCCGGCCAGAAGCACGTATAGGACGACTCCCGCCGACCAGATGTCCGCCTCGGCACTGTAGCTTTTGTTGATCACTTCTGGTGCCATGTACATGTGTGATCCTATGAACTCTGTTAGCTTGGCGCCTGGGAGGGGGGCAGAGGGAAGAAGGCAGAGGAAGAGGGCAGAGGGAGAGGGCGGAGGGAGAGGGCGGAGGGAGAGGGGCAGGACGAACAAGAAGGGGAAGGGGAGGAGGTTCATATTGAGGGTTCTGAGACAAGGACTGCTGGTCTGAGACAAGGACTGCTGGTCTGGTGCTGTGTATATGCATGAGTGAGCCTGTCAACTCTGGGCTTGGCGATTCCGGGGGATAGGGAGGGAGTGGGGCTGGGGAGGGGTGCGGGAATGGGAAGGAACAGGGGAGGGGGAAGCTGACGGGAAGTGAGAAGAAAGAGAAGTGGAGGGGAAAAGAATAACTTATTGACCTGACAACGTGTGAAGCATCGCTGCGTCTGTTGAGCACTCCAGTTGCGGGTTGCACTACATACTCAGTTTGTGCGGGCTGCACCAATGCCAGCACCAGCTGTTGCAGCACTTCTCAACGTTATCCCATCGACCCACCTGACTTGATCGTCGCAGCAACTCCGTCATTCGTGACCTTGGCAGCAACGCCATCTGTGACCTTGGCAGCAACGCCATCTGTGACCTTGGCAGCAATGCAGCATTTCTTACAATCCTATTGCTCATTCCGAGATCTCATTTCTCAATCTCTAATTACTGCCAACCCCCAATCGCTGACCCCCCGACGCCTCACCTGATTTGATCGACGCAGCAATCCCAAAGTCAGTAACTTTGACAGCAACATCATCGGAGGGCGAGCAGAGCAGCAGGTTCTCGGGCTTCACATCGCGGTGCATGACCCCCAGGGAGTGGCACGCGCGCAGCACCAACGCCAGCTGCTGCAGCACGGCCGCTGCAGGCCTCTCCTCGTAGCGGCTGCGCTGCTTGATGCGGTCGAACAGGTCCCCGCCCTGGCAGAGTTGCATGATGATATGCACGTGCTGGGGGGAGCAGGAGGCAGGGGGATGGGAGGGGTTGGGCAGGGATGCGGGTTAAGAGGGTGGTGAAGGAAAGGAGGTTGGTTGGCCCCCTGGCAGGGCTGCATCATGATGCGCACTGTGCACGTGCCGGGGGAGGGGGGGAGGATGAGGGCAATGTGGGGAGAGGGGGTTTTGAGGGATGGGAAGTGAATGGTCTCCGTGGCAGAGGTCCATGATCATATGCACGTGCTGGTGGGCGAGGCGTGGCATGGACATGGGGGGGAAGGCGAGGGGAAGAGGAAGGTCGGGTTGCTTGCTGGGGAGCTGTGTCGCCAGCGGTGCGTGTGGGAGGGCGAAGTGGGAGGGGGCCGAGGTGACGCGAAGAAGGCGGGTAGCGAGGACTTCAGTCGGTGGCTGTCATACAAAAGGCCTCTCTTTGCACACACACCACACCCCACACCGTGCACAATACAGTGCATAACACACAGCGCAACAAATGCACACACACTCCTTGCCATGCACACACACTCCTTGCCATGCACACACACTCCTTGCCATGCACACACACTCCTTGCCATGCACACACACTCCTTGCCATGCACACACGCATACACACCATGCCATCACATCACACGCTCAGACAGCTATGTCATCCACACTCGTGCTCTGTCACACTCGTGCTCTGTCACACACAACACCACCGTATCGTCTCCTGTGCAACACCCCGCGCCATCCATCCATGCGCACACACGTACCGTGTCATCTTCCACAGCCTCTTTGATCTCCACCACATGCGGGTGCCCCTTCAGCAGCTGCATCACTGCCACTTCCTGCCGCAGTGCCGCCACTGCTGCCTTGGTCTGCAGGGGGTAGTGGGGGAGCGGGGGAGCAGGGGATGGGGGAGCGAGGGAGTGGAAGTGAGGACCACGGGGGAGTTTGGGGGAGAGTAGAAAGAATCCATCAGCAGCTGCATCACCTCAACTTCCTCCCGCAGTGCTGCCACTGCTGCCTTGGTTTGAAGGAGGTAGTGGAAGAATGGGGGGATGGGGGAATGAAGCAGTGGGTGAGTGGGAGAATGGGGGAGTGCGGGAATGGGAGGGTGGGAGAACAGGAGATTGGGGGAATGGGGGAGGGATCGTGTTCGAGCTGGAAGGACGAGTGAATTGAGGAAGGGTGATTGGAAAACTGGGGGCATGCGGGCATTCAATCTCTCACTCACAATCACCTGTATCTGCAACACCATTCTCCAACTCTTTTCTCACTCACCTGAATCTGCTCCTTCCCAATGCTCTTGCACGCCCACGTCTTGCCCGTCTCCTTCTCCCGAACAGCCCGGATCATCCCATACGACCCGCTCCCAATCTCCTGCTTAACCAAGTACCGCTCCTGCAGAGAGCAAATCTCCTGGCCTAAAAGCCCCACTTTAGTAGGGGGCCGCCAGGAGCCAATAATACCCCTGGGGGACAGCATGTTGGTCAAAAAGCTGGATTTGAAGCCGGAGGATGACGGGGTATGGGGCGAGACGGGCATTTCGATTCGCAATGGGCTGAGGTTCTGGCTCTGGTTGCTGCTGCTGCTGTTGCCATGCTTGCTGCTGCCGCCTGCAGTGCTGAGCTGACTACTTTCATGTGCAAGTGCACCAGAGGTTGATTTTCCCCCATCGTTACTCTTCTCCCTCTCCTTCTCCCCCTCCTCCTTCTCCCTCTCTCCCTCCCTTGTCCGCTCCTTCCCCACGCGTCGCCCTTTCTCTCTCGAATTTTCCCTGCCGCTCCCCTTCACCACCACCGTCAAACTCCCCACGCTCTCACCGGATCGCCTAATCCCCCCCTCTCTCACCGCCCCCCGGTCTCCCAGCGGTGGCCCCTTGGAGCTATCAAGAGAGGCCAGCCCCCCAAGGTCGCTATAAGACATCCGCCTTCGGTCTTTAGAGCCGCACCATGGGCTCTTCACCCGGCTGCCTCTGCTTGGAGTTTCCATGGCAGCAGCAACAACACTGCCAGAATCAGCACCGCCGACAGCAGCGGTGATGGCAGCGGCAGCAGCAGCTGAAGCGGACTGTTTGTGCCGAAGCTCCTCAAAGCGAGACGAGCCCGCGCCCGTGCCTGCTGCTGCTGCCTTCAAATCCAGCTTCAAATCCATCACCGTCGTCTCAAGATCAGGCAGCAAGCTCTTCTCAGCTGCCCGAAACGAGGTCCCACCAGCCTTCCCCCGAGAGCGTCCCGGCGTGATGGCGCCGCGAACCCTAGACGCATCAAACGCTGCTAAGCCTGCAAATCCCGCGGCAAGGCCTCCTGCAGGAGAGGGCTTGACGAGGTCGGTGGGGTCTCCACCGCTGGTGGACTTGACGTCCTTGGAGCGGTGCATGGTGGCATACACCTTCTCGTTGCTGCGCGCCATCGCACTGTCTCGCTTTGATGCCTTTGAAACCATCTCCTTCCTCCCTCTCCTCTCCTTGCGCTCCCCACCACCCTTCCATTCCCCACCCTCCTTCCGTTCCCCACCCTCCTTCCGTTCGCCACACTCCTTTGCTTCCGCATCCCGTGTTTTTCTAGAATCTGCCTCGTCTTTCTCCTTTGATAGCTTCGCGCTTCCACTCTCACGTTCCGTACATTCTGTCTCCTGCTGCTGCTCAAATCCGCTTCCTCGTCCCTCTCTGCTGCTCTCTTTCCTTCTCACTCTCTCCACACGCCCCACGTCTTCCTCTATCCCTTCCCAACTCTCCTTCTCCCTGAAAGAAGCCCTGCCTCGAGAACTATCCCTCCTGTGCTCTCTCCCTCCATCTTTCTCTCTCCGCCTCTCTCCTTCCCCATCTCCTCCCCCATCCTCTTCCCTCTCCTGCAACTGTCTCATTAACAACAACTCAGCAGCGCCTGCCTGCCTGCCTCCTCCTTTCCACTCGCTTCTCCCTCTCTCACCTCCCTCCCCCTTTCCCATCCCCCTCTCCACCTCCACCCCCTCCACCCCCTCATCTCCCTCCTCCTCCCAACCCATCTCCTCCTCTCCCCCTCTCGACCTCCTCCCCACTCGCAGCTGCCGCAGCCGCCGCTGCCGGCGCCGCCTCTGCTGCTCTTTCTCATCATCCGTATGATTCCTTTCTAACGAATCATCTACTAACGAATGCTCCACAAACGAGGCCTCGCCCTTGGGACTCCTGCCTTGCTCCTCCTTGAAACTCCTTGGGCTTCGTCGCCTGCCCCCTGTCGGGCTCTTCCCAGGAGTCCTACCAGGCGTTCCGCTGGGAGCTTTAGGGCTTCGGCTCTTACTCGCATCACCAGCACTCCCCACTCGCACCACCGTTACTCTTCCCCCATCCTCGTCATCCCCCTCATCCCCTTCATCCTCCTCATCATCCCCCCCTTTCAGAGGAACCAGGCTAGAAACCCACTCCTGCACCGCCCTCCGAATAGAGTCATACCTCCCCTGCTCCTTGTCATTTTCACTCTCCTGCCCCCTCTCCCCCCGTCTTTCCCCTGCCCTTTCCCTCCTCTCCCCACCTCCATCCCCCCCTCTCTCCCCCCCTCTCTCATCATCCTGGCCTCGTGTGCTGCTCTCAACCTTGCCGACAATTGTCACATCTGATTCGCTGTCGCTCAATCCCACGCCCTTGACCGCTGCTTTGATATAATCGCCCACCGCCAAACTAACAGCTGATTTGGCTCGTCTGTGCCTTCCAGGAGTTGCGTCTGCAGCAGCAGCAGCAGCACCACCACCACCAGCACCACCACCAGCAGCAGCGGCAACACTGGAAGCACCAGTACTAACAGCACTACCAACACTGGCAACGGCAGCAGCAGCAGCAGCTGCAGCAGACCTCCTATCCTCCCTGGAACCTTCGTGCACACTACGCCCAGCACTAACACCCCCCCCAGTGCCAGAACTCTCTGTGTGCTTCAGGCTTCGAGAGGAAGCGGAATCAACGAGCCTCCTGCTGCTGCCACTGCTCCCACTCGCAGCATTACTACCTTCCGTGGGGCCAGAAAAA